ATGTGTGACCGTGTTTTTTTTTTTTTCTGTGTGGTGCAAGTGGGGGCACTAGGGTGGGAAGGCATGATTCAGACAGTCATTTTTTTTTTCTTCTTACCCTCCCAGGTTGGGGTCTGAACTGCTCCCTCTCCCAAGCTAATCTGAAATCTCCGCTAAGTGCGGAACCCATTCCTGCTCTCCCTCCGCTGGCTGGTGCCTCGGCTCGCTGGTGCACTGGTGGAGCTCGCATTTGGGGGTGGATGCCAGGGTGGCTACTGCCTTATTCCTGGCGGCTTCTTCGCAGGGCCCAGCCAGCCAGGGCCTTGCTGGGGCTCCTGCCCTGGGATGGGGCGCCCCTGGAGCCCCGGGTCCCTGGGGGCCCAGGACCAGATTGATTTCAGGGTGGCTGGCAACCGGTGGAGCCCGCAGACTCGTCCCCTTGGCTCCCGGGGGCTCCAGCATTGCGGTGGCTGGGGGACTTCCTCGGGGCTTTCTCTCCTCTTCCATTGGTGGGGGTCGGATTTCCTGGGCTGGCCCCTCCTTGGTACCTTTGCTCTTGGGGTCTCTTTGGGCGTCTGGGGCTTTTGGTCTCCCGGCACTGGACTCTTGCTCTGGGGGGGCACCTCTCCGGCTCTCCACAACCACTATTGAGCATTTTTTCTTTGGATAAACCTTACATGCACAAGTGCACTCTCACAAACAACTACAGGTGCTTGGTTCCAGGTACTCAGAGATTCACTTCCACACAGAAAGCCCATATTCTTATCTTCAGGTAACATAGAATACATGTCAGATTAAATAATACTGCTTATACTTCAGCGATATAATCTAGGTTTTACTTTATTGTATGTCCCGTATCATGTCTGTTGGTTGTGCTGTTCTTTTTACATCTCTTTGCAGGTGATGAAGCAGACTGAAAATGTTTTATCATTATCTCCCTTTTATCTCCTCTTTCTTTCATCTTTTCTCCTTTTTTCCTGTTTTTCCTCTTCTGTTCTACCTACATTGCAGTGTCCATATACAGTGGGGAGAACAAGTATTTGATACACTGTTGATTTTTCAGGTTTTCCCACTTGCAAAGCTTGTAGAAGACTGTATTTTTTATCATAGGTACTCTTCAACTGTGAGTGATGGAATCTAAAACAAAAATAAAAAAAATACAATGTATGATTTTTAAATAATTAATTTCCATTTTATTGTGTGAAATAAGTATTTGATCATCTATCAACCAGTAAGAATTTTTGCTCTCACAGACATGTTAGTTCTTCTTTATGAAGCCCTCCTGTTCTCCATTCCACTCGTTACCTGTATAAAAGACACCTGTCCACACACTCAATCAATCACACTCCAGCATCTCCACAATGCTCAAGACCAGAGAGCTGTGTAAGGACATCAGGGATAAAATTGTAGACCTGCACAAGGCTGGGATGGGCTACAGGAAAATAGGCAAGCAGCTTGGTGAGAAGGCAACAACAGTTGGTGCAATTATTAGAAAATGGAAGAAATACAAAATAACGGAAAATCTCCCTCGGTCTGAGGTGCTCACCTCGTGGAGCATCATTGATCTTGAGGAAGGTGAGGAATGAGCCCAGAACCACACGGAAGGACCTGGTCAATGGCCAGAATAGAGCTGGGACCACAGTCTCAAAGAAAACAATCAGTAACACTCTACGCCGTCAAGGATTAAAATCCTGCAGTGCACGCAAGGTGCCCTTCCTCAAGCCAACGCATGTCAAAGCCAGTCTGATGTTTGCAAATGACCATCTGAATGATCCAGAGGAGGAATGGGAGAAGGTCATGTGGTCTGATGAGACAAAATATAACTTTTTGGTTTAAACTCCACTCGTCATGTTTGGAGGAAGTAGAATGCTGAGTGCAACCCCAAGAACACAATCCCAACCGTGAAGCATGGCGGTGGAAACATCATTCTTTGGGGATGCTTTTCTGCAAAGGGGACAGGACGACTGCACCATATTGTGGGAAGGATGGATGGGGCCATGTATCGTGAAATTTTGACCAACAACCTCCTTCCTTCAGTAAGAGCTCTTAAGATGGGTCGTAGCTGGGTCTTCCAGCATGACAACAACCCAAAACACAGAGCCAGGGCAACTAAAGAGTGGCTCTGTAGGAAACATCTTAAGGTCCTGGGGTGGCCTAGCAAGTCTCAAGACCTGAATCCAATAATAAATCTTTGAAGGGAGCTTAAAGTCTGTGTGGCCCAGCGACAGCCCCGAAACCTGAAGGCTCTGGAGGAGATCTGTATGGAGGAGTGGGCCAAAATCCCTGCTGCAGTGTGTGCAAACCTGGTCAAGAACTACAGCAAACGTCTGATCTCTGTAATTGCAGACAAAGGTTTCTGTACCAAATATAAAGTTTCATTGTTCTGGTGTATCAAATACTTATTTCACACAATAAAATTGAAATTATTTAAAAATGATTAAAAATCATACATTTTATTTTTCTGGATTTTTGTTTTAGATTCCATCACTCACAGTTGAAGAGTACCTATGATAAAAATTAGTCTTCTACAGGCTTTTGCAAGTGGGAAAACATGAAAAATCAACAGTGTATCAAATACTTGTTCTCCCCACTGTAATCTGTAAAACTACCTGCATAATTATAATAAAGCAATTTATATGCATAAATCAAGTGGAGCACTATGGCGATAGCCGTATTGCTCAACTTGTGAAAGTAAAATCTGTTGGGCTCTTTTTGGCATCAAGACAATTATTCGTATTGCCACATTGCCAGACAGGACACTGTAAAAATAAATAAATGTGTTATGACGGGTTCCCAAATGAAAATTTCAGCAACAGTGGGCAGCTTTGGCTACAGTATAGTTTGCCACCTTCAGTGTGTGTGAGAATGACTGAATGTAGTTTAAAGCACTTTGGTCAAGTCCCTTGACATGAAAAAGTACAGGCCATTTACCATTAACATCTTTAGTGTACCTTAAGCAGTACCGTGGAGGTATGAGTGCTGAGAGAGAAAACACCAATAAAGATTGTTAATGACTTATATGAAACCATATACAGAAGCAATTTTACAATCCATGTTTTTATTTCTGCTTGGTTCATCAATCTAGAAGTGAATACATTCAATAATGCAATAAAATCTAGTTCTATAAAACAGACGATAGTTTCTCTAAATGACACCAGGTTATTAAAACATCTACAGAATCAGAAACAAAACTATAGGAAAAAAATCATAGAAAATGTTAACTGTAAAAGATCTTTAAAAAGCAGAAACATTAAATAATATATCATTTTAAAGTGAAAATCAACACAGATTGTAAATCTGACATTTAATGGAAAAAATGTCAAATATCTGTCCAAGGTCTGACTTTCGTTCCAAAGTATCCATTCTAGTGCAAAGAAACACATTCAATCTTGATCCATTGATATTTTTCCGCAATGCGCTCTTTTTGGTAGACAAGTTTTAGTTGCAATTTGTAACTTTTCACTTTTATCCCTATGGCCCAGAAATTTTGGAGTGAATTATGTTTTCGTTGACAGTTTTATTTAAAAGATGTAAAAAAAAGAAAAAAAATGCACTCCTACAGGAGTGAAAGTCTACATTATTAAGCCAAAAGGCTTTTTACCAAGTTATAGCAGATTCAAATTCATCAGCAATATATCAGCAAAATATTAAATTATAACAAAATAAGCAATTTGAACCTTGTTCAGCTCTTTAAACAAACATGTTTTCCGTGTGTTACAGCTTTTTATCACGTGTAAAACATGGACAAGGTCTCTCCTGTTCATTCCACGGGCGTTTAACTGATATGACTTCTTATGTGAATCAATAAATCTTTCTTTTTAGATCAGATTCATGAATGGATTTCTCACGAGTTGATCTGTGAGATGTCAAACTATCTTTTTGATTAAACTTTTGCAACACCTAGTTCAAGAGAAAGGCTTGTCACCTGTCTGATTTCTGATGTGAGAAATCAAGCTTTGTTTGCTGGTAAGACTTTTTCCATAAAGAGTACAGGAGAACGGCTTCCCACCTGTATGAATTCTAATGTGTTTATCAAGACTGCCTTTTTGGGTAAAGCTTTTTCCACAGGACCCACATTTATAAGGCTTCTCACCTCTGTGTATTCTCATGTGAGAAGCTAAGCTAAGCTTTCGAATGAAACCTTTGCCACAAAGAGTACAAGACAACGGCTTGTCACCTGTGTGAGATTTGAAGTGTTTAAAGGAATAGTACACCCAAAACATGATTAGCCTTCATTTTCTACTCACCCCCATGCTGAACAACACTCTGAGATATCAAAAAAGTACTCCAAATGCATCTGGAGATCTGGGAGGCTTCTTGCTGTCTGCTGACATTCAAATAATGGAGGTCTATGGTGACCGAGACAGAAAGGTCCATAAAAGTCCACAAAAAACGTGTCAATATTCCTCCATACTGCTCGTCCAATGTATTCCAAGTGTCCTGAGTGGGTAGCACCCAGAATTTACTCGAAACGAAGTCATTTAGAATGTTTTTAGAGCATAAACAGTAGTGTATAGGATTTCCTGAAAGCTCGCACATGCGCGCTCACGACGCTACGGAAGCCGGCAGACCTAACCAGCGCATTCAGCTCGGCAAAGAACTCATGCTCTTCCTCAACACTGAAGTCCTCAGACATTTTTCTTTCGCTGTTTCTTTCTTTGCACAGGTAAACAGCACATTTCTTCTTCTACGCTTGCATTATTGGCAGAGCAGACGCTGAATGCGCACTTTCATCTGGTTTGGTCTGCCGGCTTCCGTAGCGCCGTGAACGCGCAGGTGCGCGCTTTCAGGAAATCCTATACACTACTGTTTATGCTCTAAAAACATTCTAAATGACTTCGTTTCGAGTAAATTATGGACGCTACCCACTCAGGACACTTGGAATACATTGGACGAGCAGTATGGAGGAATATTGACACGTTTTTTGTGGACTTTTATGGACCTTTCTGTCTCGGTCACCATAGACCTCCATTATTTGAATGTCAGCAGACAGCAAGAAGCCTCCCAGATCTCCAGATGCATTTGAGATATCAAAAAAGTACTCCAGAGTGTTGTTCAGCATGGGGGTGAGTAGAAAATTAAGGCTAATCATGTTTTGGGTGTACTATTCCTTTAAGCTTTATCCAGAGGACACATGTTTGAAAGTCTTCTCACCTGTGTGAATTCTCATGTGACAAATCATGCGTTGTTTGCTAGCAAGACCTTTGCCACAAAGAGTACAGGAAAATGGCTTCTCACCTGTGTGAATTCTCATGTGATTATTAAGATGCTGTTTTCTGATAAAGCTCTTTCCACATGAGACACATTTGAAAGGCTTCTCACCTGTGTGAATTCTCATGTGTACATGAAGATAACCTTTATCGGTAAAGCTTTTTCCACATGAGACACATTTGAAAGGCTTCTCACCTGTGTGAATTACGATGTGTTTATCAAGAGTACATTTTTGGCTAAAGCTTTTTCCACAGCACTCACATTTAAATGGCTTCTCACCTCTGTGAATTCTCATGTGAGAAGCCAGGTTATGTTTGTAAGCAAGACTTTTGCCACAAAGAGTACAGGTGAATGGCGTCTCATCTGTGTGAATTCTCATGTGAGAAGCCAGGTTATGTTTGTTAGTAAGACTTTTGCCACAAAGAGTACAGGAGACCGTCTTCTCACATGTGTGAAATCTGATGTGTCTATCAAAAATACCTTTATCGGTAAAGCTTTTTCCACAGGACTCACATTTGAAAGGCTTATCACCTGTGTGAATTCTGATGTGTTCATCCAGAGCACATTTTTGGGTAAAGCTTTTTCCACAGGACTCACATTTAAAACTCTTAGCTATGTGAGTTCTGATGTGTTTATTAAGATAACCTTTATGGCTAAAGTTTTTTCCACAGGACTCACATTTGAAAGGCTTCTCACCTGTGTGAATTTTGATGTGTTGATCAAGATCACCTTTTTGGCAAAAGCTTTTTCCACAGCACACACATTTAAATGGCTTCTCACCTCTGTGAATTCTCATGTGTACATGAAGATAACCTTTATCGGTAAAACTTTTTCCACATGAAACACATTTGAAAGGCTTCTCACCCGTGTGAATTCTGATGTGTTTATCAAGAGCACATTTTTGGATAAAGCATTTCCCACAGGACTCACATTTAAATGGCTTCTCACCTGTGTGAATTCTCATGTGAGAAGCCAGGTTATGTTTGTTAGCAAGAGTTTTGCCACAAAGAGCACAGGAGAATGGCTTCTCACCTGTGTGAATTCTGATGTGTTGATCAAGAGCAAATTTTTGGATAAAGCATTTTCCACAGGACTCACATTTAAATGGCTTCTCACCTGTGTGAATTCTCATGTGAGAAGCCAGGTTATGTTTGTTAGCAAGAGTTTTGCCACAAAGAGCACAGGAGAATGGCTTCTCACCTGTGTGAAATCTGATGTGTTTATCAAGAGAACCTTTACCGGTAAAGCTTTTTCCACAGGACTCACATTTGAAAGGCTTCTCACCTTTGTGAATTCTGATGTGATAATAAAGAGAGCCTTTTTCGGTAAAGCGTTTTCCACAGGACTCACATTTAAAAGGCTTCTCACCTGTGTGAATTCTCATGTGAATGGTCAGGCTTTGTTTGCTAGCAAGACTTTTGCCACAAAGAGTACAGCAGAACGACTTCTCACCAGTGTGAATTCTGATGTGTTTATCAAGAGAGCATTTCTCGGTAAAGCTTTTTTCACAGGACTCACATTTAAAAGGCTTCTCACCTGTGTGAATTCTCATGTGAATGGTCAGGCTATGTTTGCTAGCTAGACTTTTGCCACAAAGAGTACAGGAGAACGACTTCTCACCTGTGTGAATTCTGATGTGTTTATTAAGATTCTCTTTTCTTGCGAAGCTTTTTCCACAGGACAAACATTGGAAAGGTTTTTCACCTGTGTGAGTTCTAATGTGTTGATCAAGATAATCTTTTATGGTAAAGCTTTTTCCACAGAATAAACATTTGAAAGATTTCTCACCTGTGTGAATTCTGATGTGTTTATCAAAATATTGTTTTCTGGTAAACCTTTTTCCACAAGACCAACATTTGTAAATCTCCCGACCTGTGTGAATTCTCATGTGAACCAATAAATATTTTTTCTTTAGAAACCTTTTTCCACATGTCAAACATGGGAAAGGGTTCCTTTCTGTATCTCCAGTCTCAACAAACTGCTCTTCGTGCTCACTTATGTGGAGCTCCATGGTCTCCTCTTTTATCCAGGGATGTTCTGGCTTTTCCTGCTCTTCTTTTATCTGCAGAAGTTCTGGTTCTGATTGGTCCAAACTGGAATTCCTCTCCTGTTCAGAGAACTGCTGCTCAGGGAAAACCTCTTCTTTTCCAACATAATCCTGCAGGCGGTCTGGAAAAACAAACACAGGAGAAAGACTTTGAATTGCAGGTTAAAGAAAGGACACTTCACTTTAACCATCCATGTGTTGATCAAGCTGCATATAACCAGAGTAGAACTACATTTCCCAGCATTCACTGCAGCTCTGACATCACATCACAGGTTAGAAAGGACCAGGCAATGCAAACTTTTGAAATTTCATCAACAGGGGTTAAAGTACTGTTACAGTCATAAGTATGTAATAAAAGAAGGCTCAGTTATTAAATATAAACTTAAAAATTGATTTCAAGATGTTTTCAGGGGAGAAAGTAGACCAAGAAATTTCACCAGTCAGTCAATCAACAATGAGCCAACTTTAAAATGACTTTTGGAGGTTTCAAAGCAGCGTAGCCCCACCCACAGGCCACGGTGGCAACATGTTAGGCGGGTGGTTGGAGTGTTTTCTGGCTATCATCAGCTTGATGGCAGTCATATCTGTTATTTCCCGCTACCTGCTAGCTGTTTGTAGCAGCTGAAAGTGAGCGATGAAACATTTAAACATATCTGGTTGATAAGTGCATTACCAGTTTATAAAATATGTGGTTTTCTCTGGAAATCTCTGACATGTTAAATTAATTTTAGTGTCTTTTACTCTGATGCTAGAGTCTTTTCCTCATGCTGCATTCGGATAAAATTACTTTAGTGTCAGGGGCTCCTGGTTTACATGAAATTCTACCATTTAGGCGCGTTTTACCTCTTCGGCACATTGGGATCTTTCAAGTGTTGACCTGCGTCCAAACTGTCAGACTGTTTTTCAGTTTGAGGCGAGTGTCAACCAATCAGATAAGGTGATCCTGTAATGGACTGGAAGACCATGACTGCATCAAAGCTGTGATCTCTCCTCCTGCAGAGCTGTCAGCATAAAACCAAGACAAATTGGACAAGATGAAGGGGTCACGCACCACTACGTTTATTGCATGAAGGCAAAGACTTAACCTGGTCTTTAACTTTGGTTCTGGGGACACAATGTCCAGTGTGTTTTAGGTGTTCCCATACCTGAAAACACCTGGTAATCGGGGGGTTAAGGGTCTTGCTCAGAGATCCAGAGTGGCAGTCTGTGGGAGTGGGTTTTTGAACTCACAAGCCCTATGTCCTAACCACTAGGCCGCCACTCTTCCTTAACAAATGTGTTGTTGTAATTGAAAAGTTAAAATAACTGCCACAAAGGGTGGCATGATTCTTAGCTTTAGCCTGACTTGAGTCATCAAGTGGTCAGAGGATGAAGTATCCTGACATAAAAGGCAGTTTGAGATGAGTTTATATGGCCCATGTTAAAGAGAGCTCCAAGGTTATACTCAAAAACAGATCAATGTTTGCAAAGTCCACAGCCACAGGATACAGTTAATAAAACTTAGGCCATCTTCCCTGAGATGGCCGGAGTTTGGGCATTAAATGTGAACCATTGCATTAAATGTGAACCAACAACCTTGTGTTAAAGGCATACTATGCAACTTTTTTCAGTTAATTAATGTGTTCCATAACGTTTGGGATGATTAAATGAGTCATTTCAGGTTGAACAAAGGTATTCTCGGCCGCCCTGGTTGTCTGTGGGGGAAATACCGCACTTGCAATTGCAGGAGCCCTCGGGCAAGCTTTTTCCAAATGGCGAGACCTAAAAGAAAAAGAAGGCTGCAGAGGTGACGCCGACCTCACGTTTCTGCTGATGTGATTGTAAGTAACATTGGAATGGTTTCTCTCTCTCTGTGTTCATGTTCATATTGTCTGCTAAGCTCAAAACAACCGCGCCTGGCTTGACGGAGAAACCAGGAGAACAGCTGAGCATATTTACGACACTTTTACTTTTGCCCTCTGGGGGGGAGCCTCGCTGGAAAATCAACACCGGTTGCATAGTATACCTTTAACACAGAGCACAACTACAGAATGTTTCACACTGCTAGTTAAAGAGCAGTGTAGGAGACTCATTTTTTGTGTTATTTTGATATTTGAACTTATTTGAGACGCTTTATTTTTTTGTTTTGCAGTTCTAAAGAGATATTAATTGCACCAATTGTCTCCATAGATATCTTCCTTTTATGAATATAAATAAGTGTACAAGATCTTCTTTTTGGAAACCTTTGAGGGTGCGGTGAATCAAGTCCGCTGCATTTAATTAAAAACAATATATTAAAAAATATATATATTTTGTCAACAAACTCGACTCCAGACAGATAATTGGACATGGAAAATAATTGACAAAATGATGGGGCCAAGTGGATCTAGAATTTTGTTTAGAAAATTTTTATGTGATGAATAGAAGGCAGAAGGTTATACCTTTATGGACCAGTGGATCCCAGTGGATAGGGCTAAAATAAAAAAGGTATTTTTAAAGCCACCTAAACAAAATCGAGACCATTCCTTATCTCTACCTTTGTTTACTTTATTTTCTCTATATTACATCTTATGTTAAAAAAAAAAAGTTAAACAACTTTGGTGGACACAGCTCTGCTCTCTCCAAGCGGTGCCGCTGTTTGCCAACACCTCAGTTCTATCTAGTAGCATGACGTGAGAGCTAGTGCTGCCCAGATAAGACGACATAAATCAACGATGAAAATTCATCCTAATTTTGCTCAGCCTGTTATCATCTATTTATTTTGGTCACGTCTGAGACTCATCTGAGTTCAGAAAATTCCACTACACAGCACATTTTTGGCTCCATAAATTGGCTCCATTTTCCTCTCCTGGTTCTTGTTTTAAATGTGATATGAAAATGGCACAGTGGGGTGAGTCTGAATCGAGGCGGGAGGCATCGGCTAGCTTGAAGAACAAAAGTATCCAAAGAATGGGAATACTTTAGGGAACCTGGTGATAGAGTGGTTTGCACAAGCTGTAATACTGCGTTCACACCGGAGACGTGGGTATCAAAAATGCACAGACGCAGAAATCTGGACACTAGATTACACTGTGGTCAAGTTGCTTTAACGCTCTGAAGGCAACTCTTTCAAGTTATTTATTTTCAAAAACCAGAATTAATGGGTGAGGAGTAGCAGCAACAATCTTTCAGTCTGACTTAATGATTACTCCAAAGGCAGTTAATAATTACAGGTCCATAGCTTAAGAGCAGCCTTTAATGCTATCTTAGATTCTATTTTCTCTGTTCAAAATGTGAATAGTCCCACACAGTCTTATCTTCATATTTTAGACCTTGTGCTGATATATGGCATAGAATGTGAAGAAATAACAGTATTTCCTCACAAACCTGTCTTCTCTGAACACATTTTAATAACCTTCAGGATTACTTTAAAAGAGTTCTCCTACCCCAGATCATTAGCAGATCATTATCAGATAGTGTTAGTGTTTAGTTTATTCCACTTCACAGGTTGATGAATTTGTTTATGGGGTTGCTAGTTCTCTGCGGTACTGCCTTAAAGGGGAACGCTGTTTTTTTTTTTTTTTTTTTTTTAACATTGGGCCCTTGATTTTACGTTATTACATCATGTTCTACTCACCCATATCAGTTTTGTGTCATTTGGAGCTGTTCCGATGATATTCGGTTTTGCTATATCCAAGTAACCCCTTCCTAGGGGCAACCAGTTGAAGGCTGGCTAAACTGTTCGTAATTTATTCTGTATGGTATGCCAGCATTCATAACATTTAGGCAAATTACTTTCCCCTAGACATCAGGGGTTATTTTACTTTTATAATCATATTTCTTAAAAACGAAGCGGAGTGTGTATGACGTCATCCGCGCGGCGGACTGGAGTTGTGATAGGCAGCCCGGGCTACGCTCTACCCCTTATATTCATTCTGCTAGCTAATCTGAATCGTTCAATTCCATTTCGAGAGCGAAATCATCTGTGGTAGTTGCACTAGACATCTTCCAGGCATGTGAGCAAAACTAGCAGCGGTTCAGCGTACAGGATGAATGAATTGTAGCCGGCATGCAGATGACGTCATACACACTGCATTCCATTAAAAAAAAAAATTAATATAAAAAATATAACCGCGGATGTCTGGGGGACAGTGATTAGCCTACATGTTACGAATGCTGGCGTACCATAAATGATAAAGTATGAACAGTTTAGTTTTTGCCTTTAACTTGTTTGCCTATTGGAAGATGTTACTTGGATATAACCCAACCGAATATCTTTGGAACAGCTCCAAATGACACAAAACTCATTTGGGTTATTACATGATGTAATACATGATGTAATGATGTAAAATCAACGGCCCAATGTAAAAAAAATAACAGTGTTACCATTTTAGACTGGTTTTTGCTCAGAAACCAGGTCATCTGCATGTGTTTTTTTGATAAAGCTTATAGTTAGGGTGGCTTAGGTTATCCTGAGCTATCTCTATAGTTATGCTGCTATAGGCTTAGACTTCTGGAGGACATAGGGACCCCCATTTCATCATTCTGCTTCATTCTCTCTCTATTCTCCTATTTTGCAGAATCTGTTAGTTCAATCTCTAACGTTATGCTCTCTCTGCTTTTCCTCAGAGTAGCTTTGCCTCGTCTGTTCCTGTTTGGCTGTGACGCCATCCTGGAAAGAAACATCAGCTGTGCTGCTTCCATCAACACCCTTGTTTATAGATGCTGGAGATCAGCCTGTTTTCCAGTGTGGTCCTGTTTCTCTGACCGTGGTTGGCTGGATGTGCTCTCTTCGTCCTCTGGCATGGGAGCTGGCTCGTCTACCTGGCTGTGTGTTTTTTCTGGACAGGGCCGCCTTTTACAGCTGCTTTTTGTGTCTCTGCTTCTGTCTCCTTGAACCCCAGTCGGCCTCGGCAGATGGCCACTCACACTGAGCCTGGTTCTGTTGGAGGTTTCTTCCTGTTAAAAGGGAGTTTTTCCTCTCTACTGTCGCTACAAGCATGCTTAGTGTGAGGGATTGTATTTGAGTCAATGAGTCAATGCAATCAACTGGTTTTCCTTAGATAGAAATCAATTTGACTGTATGATCTGGTTGTACTGTAAAGTGCCTTGAGATGACACGTGCTGTGAATTTGGCGCTATAGAAATAAACTGAATTGAATTG